AGACTAACAAAGATGTTCACGTGATCACACTTGACAGGTCTCTTTGGTCCCTCAAATTTATAACTTGTATCATTTTGCTCCTTTAAGTTTGTGGTTTATCTCACTTTAGTACCTAAAATTTCTAAAAAATGCACCTCAAGTGTAATCACTTGAGATGTACGTGACTATCTCTGCTAGTAAAGTTCGAATATTGTTTTCAATTGGATCAAAGTAACTCAAATTAAACAATTAAAAATAATTAAGAGACTAAATTGACACAATTAAAAAATTGAGGATCAAATTGACACAAAATACATAATTTGAGGATCAAAAATATATTTTACCCTTTTTATTTTTATGAAACACAAATGAAATAGGGTTTTTTGTACCTTGTACCCTAAAATATTTCAATTTTTTTACTCTATAGCTTCAAAGATTAAATTTTTCATATTGCACTATCAATGTATCAAAAGTGTTTCAATGTAATCCTTATGTTAGTTTTCATTATTTTTTTTTTATCAAAAGCCAACCTATTAATATTAATAAAAAGCTAACAGAAGGGTCATATTGCATAATTTTTGATATATTAAGAGTGCAATATAAAAAATTTAATTTTTAAAAGTATAAAGTAAAAAACTTAAAATCTTTTGATGGAGCAAAGTGAATTTCGCCAAATTAAATAATATGCAAATCATTTCATAGCAAGCCCACTAAGCCCAAATTCACCGACTTAAGGCCTTGAATAGTTTTTCACTATAATGTCACATTAAAATTTAATGGTAATCTTACGAATTCTTAAAAGCATTGAAATGTGTGTGTGCACGATTCTACACAATATAAACATGAGAACAAATCTCTTCTATGGCAAACACCAGTCCGTCAATCGAGTGGTCGATCTTGCTACTTGGAACAGATTGTAAGGGCCGAAGGTGGCCTAAGGAGGGATAATGAATCATTTTTATAAGTCGTCTAAATGATTCTGGGAGGCTAAGCGAGGTTCCTGGAACAGAGAAAAACAAGTTAGAAGGGCGCCAGAGTGTTTTTCGACGTATCCTCTCCAACGATCAAGTCAGTTTTTTGAGGGAGGAGAAGACGAAAATACTGTGTGATGCTTGAGAAAGGGTTTTTTGTGTACCTCTTTTATGTGTTTATGAAGACTATTTATACCTTAAAAACTCATCATTACTGACACCAATTTCTATGAGTAATATTCTTATTCTTAACTGCTCGGGACCTCGAGTAACTAATGCTTTCTCCTCGGTCTGCTGAACGTTTAATGACCTTCTCTCGGCGGGGGTGTATTAAATACCTAGGCTTTGGGACATTTATTACCTTTCACTTCCAAGTTCTCATGCATTAAATGTTGTCTCATTAAAGGAAGGGTGCATTAAATACTTGTTTTCCCAAGTCGTGTGTCAGCAAGGGTATTTTGGTCTTTTTTTCTTTGATCTGACACAATACGCCACATGCTCATTCCCCCTTGGTTGAACCTTCTGCTTTCTTGTGACTCCTGACACCATTTGAGTAAGACGAGATCATGATGGCTAATCCAGTCTAACCGAGGCTGTGATCTATCCATCAATAGCCCTGTAGGAGCAAAAATGCTTCGTAGACAGATATACCTCGGTGACGAGGGTCCAGCGTCGCTAGGGACCGATGCACCTAAACTGACCGAGGGATACGTGTTGGTCCATGGTGGGTTGGGGATCCTTGATTCTTGTGAATAACATCCTTGGGGCATGGGGTTGGAAACCGATAAAGACGTGTCGGGATCCAAGCAAAGAGTCTCCATTGACGCCGAGTACACGTGTCATCATCTAAGAGTGTTTGAAAATGTCCCATCAAAATAATTTTAAAAGAAAATTGTTTCTAAATTTCAAAACAATCAAGGTGTATGAATAGGTTTTGCAATCTCATGTAAATTCAAAATTCTAATTGTCCATAACCATTAGACAAAACCCGAACAAATTAACAAGATTATGATAATAACCTTAACAAAATGACAAAATAGAAAAATACTTAAAAATGAAATGATTTTGAAGGATAAACCATAGGATACCATATCAAAACAATATCATTGAAAGAAAATTATGGATATCAAATTTTTTAATTTTCGACATATAATTTTTTTGTTAAGTAAAGCAATTTAGAGTTTAGAGAGAAAAGATGACAGAAGATGAGGGACCAAAAGAGAGGAAGATATGGAGAAGGGAGAGGAATAGTGTGTGTGGGTGTGGAAGGACATGCAAGTGTGCATTTTGTATATAGTGGAGAAAGTTATGTGATGAACACTCATTACATTAGATTGAGTTCGAGTTTAATGAGATTTATGTATTTTAATAGGTGATCTAATGATAAAGATTTATTTTCATCGGCAGATGGTTGTGGGTTTTAATCTTATGTCGTTTTTGTTTTTCTTAGCAAAAAATAGATTTATATATTTGAATAATAAAAGAGATAGCGAGGGAGAAAAATCGCATAATATTTTTAGCAAAATAATGAAAACCTAAAAAAATAAATATAATTGGGTAAAAATCATAATTGGTTCATGAATTTTACCTCCAGTCTAAATTTGGTCTCTAAAATTTCAATTGTCGCAATTTAGTTTCTTAACTATCAATTTTGTCTCAATTAAGCCTTTCTATCAATTTTTATCGTTAGGTCAATCGAAGATTAATCTAATTTAATATTTTATTGATCTAACGGTGAAAATAAACGAAATAACTCAATTGAGACAAAATTGATAATTAAAAGATAAATTAAAATAATTAAAATTTAAGAACCAAATTAAACTAAAAAAAAAGTTAAGGACCAAATTTTTACCTAAGAAAATTATAGATGAGAGATTGGTGGTGAGAAAAACACATTTAGAAACATTTTCAAAGAACCTTTTAGGGATGGGCAAATGACTGAGTTTGATCGTTAATAATTCAGAGGTCTCAGGTTCAATCTCTTCCCACACCCCCCTAAGAATTAGTTACCCCTGTCTCTTTAGAGATATATTCTAACTCATCTCAAGTTATGGTGGTCAGTCGCTAAGCACAAGATAGTCGTTGGCGTAAACTTTGACATCCAATAAAAAAAAAGAATTAATTGTTTTTTACTTCCTTGTGATTTCAACTAAAAACATTTTACCTATTTGACGTTTAAAATTATGTGCATTACCCCCTTGTAGTTATGTACCAACGTGAAATGATTATTTTATCATCCAAGTTAAAGGAAAGTGTGTTTCATATGCCCAAAACATTTTGTAGGCTTTGTTTCCATTGTTTCCCTCCAAAAGAGAATCGTCTAAGTGTCTAAAATACCATTTGTAATATATGGTATAATATCCAAATAGGAAAGACATCGATCTCAGATAAAAAAAATGTAAGAAAAATATAAGTAATTTTTGATCCCAGATCAAAACTTCACTTGAGAGAAAAAAGGATTCGACATGTTTGATTGAAATGTGTTGATTTGCTGTCATTATCCATTAGTTTTAAGATCAAGAGCAAATTAGGGCAGATAAAAAGTTTAATTTTAAAACGTGGATATTATAATAATTTTTTAATTTTATTAATGGCGTTAACTACTTCACGTGGGATAGAGGTCAGACCTCCCAACAGTGGGGCGCCGCCCACAACAAACCACATCTCTCTCTCTATCTCCATTCCAACTTTAGCTTTATATTCATATCTCTATGAATCCTTCATTTGGTGGCGCTGGCGTCGCCCACATAGCACAAAAGTTGACTCTAGCTCTAACCATAACACTTCAACGTCAGCTACAGCACCCCAGGCATCGCCCAAGTGCCTGCAAAGCCCTCTTGGTGTCGTCCAAGGCACTGCCCAACCCTTTTGGCATCGTCCAAGACACCCTGCTAGCCTCCAAGCATCGCCAGTAGTGCCCAAGGTGTAGTTGCCCTGCCTCCGGCATCACTTGCACCTGGCGTCACCACGCCCCCGTCCTAGCACCACCTCTGCCTAGTGCCCAACTTGGCCCAGGACCTAGAGTCCTAGTAAAACTCAACTTCGAGTATCAAGGGAATATTGATAAACAGAGTCTCCCAGCGAGCATATTCCCTTCCCATAAGTCAAGACTCACCATCCTAGTATAATTTTATGTTGAACATATAGATGATTGATAATGAGGTCTATCCTATCACAATCTAGAGTTTAATTATATTTTGAGCACTGCTTCGTTTGTCGCTATAAATAAGGTTGCGGGTACTAGGCACGCAATAAAATCTTAGCCTACACCATACACTTTTTTTTTGGACTTGCTTATTGATTTGCAGGTTGCTCAAAATTTACTGACCACCCTCTTCGTCCGTAAGAGGTGGTTACTCTGTGTGCATTTACTTTTGTACACTTCACTTTGATACATGATTATAAGAAGATAATTTGCATAATTTTAAATGCGAAGTAAACAAGATATTTTCTAACCGAAATTACATGAATAAAAAATAATTAACCAAAAAAACAAAAAGAATAAGTAAAAACACTTTCAAAGAACACACTGCCTTTTTGTTTTGTGTCAACACAACAAACATCTATGGGACACCTCACCACATGGATTAATGGACAATAATACGAAGGAAATCTCACTTTGCACTTAAAAGATTTAAAATTTTTTATTTTATACTTTTAAAGATAAAATTTCTTATATTATATTTTTAATATATTAAAAATATTACAATATTATTCTTCTTTTATATTTCGTTGCTTATTTCATCAAAACCAACCTCATTGAAGTTGATGGAATAAATAATGAAAAAGTTATATTACAATATTTTTAATAAATATAATATTTATAAATATAAAATTTTTATATTTAAAAATATAAAATAAAATTTTTAAAGGTTCAAAGTAAAATTCGCCCCCCAACAAAAAGCACCACAGACAAAGGGGTCCCAAATTCCCAATCCCAAAAGTTTCTGGTCAAAATCTTGACAGCAGCTGAGAGAGAGATATACCAGTTCGGTAGTGCCGCCGTAGCAACACCACCGCCTCTGCTCTCTCTCTCTCTCTCTCTCTCTCTATATATATATATATATATATATATATATATATATATCTCCCACTTATCCATCTCCTTGTTTCCGCTATCTAGAGAGAGAGAAAATCCATTACGTTAAACCATAGAGAGCGAAAGAGAGGGAGGAACAACCATAGACACAATTATATAATTGGAGAGAAGAGAGATAGATCCTCGACGAATTTTTGAGAGGAAAGCTTCTTCCGCTTTTCAAATCAACTTTTGATCAATATTCGAAGAAGAAAGACAAATAAAGATATGCAGAGGTATACATAGAGAGAGAGAGAGAGAGATTGGGAGCTACGAATTGGAAATTGGATCGGCACGGACAAAGATGAGTTCGAATGTGGATTTGGTCAGGTCGATTGAATCGATAGTGGGAGTGTCGTTTGGAGAAGGGGTAACTGATCTGGTGGTGGTGATCGTGACGACGTCGTTTGCTTTGATTATTGGTTTACTGGTTCTAGTATGGAAAAGATCGGCTGATCGGAGTAAAGAATCAAGGCCTGTGGTGGTGCCGAAGGCGGTGTCGGTGGAGCCTGAGGAAGAGGAGGTTGAGGTCGATGGGAAGACTAAGTTGACTGTGTTTTTCGGCACTCAGACTGGCACTGCGGAGGGATTTGCTAAGGTAGAAAGACTGATTTTTAACTCTTTTGCCTGTTGTTGTCTTTGTTTTTTTTTTTTGGTTGGGTTTGTACGATCCTACATTGGTTAGATTAAGATTACTTAGTATTCGCATGTGTGCTCGGTGATTTTCGTACAATAGATGAAAAAGACAGATCTCTTCCCGGTGAACTCGCGTTTGTCGAGAAAATGGATGATCCCGCGGCAAAGGAAGAACCAAGATGGCCCAAGGGGGCTCAAGAAGCAGTGAAGAATTGCTTCAGGGGCTGTCCAATCGATTCTGGTGGATTGTAGGTGGTTTCTGGCACACAGAAAACACGTTAGAAGGCCGTGCCTTCTGTCGAATTCCCTCTGGTCAAGTAAGTTTTTGAGAGAGGAAAAAGAGAAAATACTTTATGGTTCTTGAGGAATGATCTTGCGGACCTTAGCATTACATTGTTTTGGAGTTATTTATACCTCCAAAGACTCATCATTACTGATGGTCTAGTCAATAGGTAGTACCCGACATGGAGCAATGCGCTTCCTATTTTGCATGGGAAGACCCTGTTATTAATTGTTCGGTCTCCCGAGCACTTAATGCTCTTTCTTCAATATTGAGGCATTAAATGCTTGGGTCTTGGAGCATTTAATGCTACTTCTTCTTGGCTTCCCAAGCCACTGTGGATGTCCCATCATAAAAGGATTCATTAAATGCTTGACTAGGGTTGCTTTATGTCAGCAGGGTGTTTTTGTCTACTTGCCCCTCATTCTGCACTTTATGCCACGTGTTTAATTCCCGTTGGTTGAGTGTCTTGTTCGTTCTGCCACTCTGATCTCGTTGTGCAGTGCACCTTCATGATACCTAGTCTAGTCGAGATTGATCAACTGTCAATCAGTAGCCTTTTCAGAAGCCGAAAACACGTGGCAAGACCAGAGTTTCAGTAAGTAGCCTTGGAGTCGAGGACAAGTGGTTGCCCCGGAGTGAAGGTATTCTCGGAGCCGAGGACACATGTCTGTCATAGAACGGGGGTACCTCGACGCCGAGCACGTGCTTGTGGTAGAGCAACAGGGCCTTCAGAGTCAACGACACGTGTTTTCATCAGAGCAAAGACGTGCCCTCGGCGCCGAGGACATGTGTTTTCTTCAGAACAAAAGACTTACCCTCGGTGCCGAGGACACACGTCGGCGATCTACTCCCCGAAGTGTCCCATCAACATGATAAGTTGCAAGAATGTGATTTTTTTTGGGTGGGATGTGAAATGTTTGAATTTCATGTAAAGGGGACAACGGTTTTGTTCCTAATTTTCCTGATAAATGTGGAGGTTCTGATTCTAAACCAGAGATGATATGCTGAATAGATGTTCTGTCTCTCGCACTCGCTCGCGCACATACACAATCAGCTTCTTTACACTAAATTCTTACAATTTTTAATACAGACCACACTCACTTATTTTTTGCGGAATCTCTTTTTCTTCCTCAGTTGGGTTTTTTTTTCCCCTCATGATGAGACGTTACATTGAGAAAGCCTAAGAATACCTGCATAATATTTGCTCGACCTCCCCGGGATTTCTCAGGTAGAATGTTTAATCAAACAAGCTTACTTGTTTGTGTTTCATTTGTTGTGTACTTAATTAAATTTCCAATCAAATTTTGTCTTGTTCAATAAATGGGAAATTTGATCAGTCATCATGACCATTTCAGATTGAGTTTCGTATAGAAAGTGGGAATTGGGAATTGTTCTTTTGCATCTTGGAGTTGAAATATAGGGCCATGCCTCCAAAAATTTTATGTGATGATGGGTATGACCGTATGACAGTGTTTCCTTACTATGTGGAACAGAGGCTAACTTCTGAGTTTCCAGGTTTCCCCATTTCCTGGATTCTCTGGGAGTAACAATGAACTATCTGGTGAAATATTTGAAATGATTTAGCACTATATATCCGTACTACCATTATGACAACTTGTTTAGTTTTACATATGGCTATGCATATTGCTGTTGTTAGCTACTAATTCATATAAATAGCAAGGAATGTTTACCCCATATCTCAGGTGTCCGCAAGTGCGCCAAGTGTTGGACATAAATCATAGAACCTGTATTTGAAGTGCCAGGGAACACGAAGTGATCTATTTTTCAAAATATATTGTTCTAATGACAGTTTACATTTACTGTTGAAATTAAGTATGAGCAAAAACACATCCACTTATGCTTGGTCAATTCAATTTTAATATGCTTGACACCAGTCTTCCTTTTCTTTTTATGACAGGCTTTGGCAGAAGAGATCAAAGCAAGGTATGAGAAAGCAAGCGTCAAAGTCGTTGACTTGGTAGGTTGAGTTGAATTTTTGTATGTTGTTTGACATCAAGTTACTTCCATTAATAGACCATATGATGTGCCATTTTGGTTTTTGTTTTTGTCAGGATGATTATGCTGCCGATGATGATCAATATGAAGAAAAACTGAAGAAAGAGTCATTGGTATTTTTCATGGTGGCAACGTAAGACGACTACTTGCTATTATTTTAGTGCAAGTATATGAACCTTTCTTTGTATTTTTGGGTTTTGAAACGTTTCTATAAGCCTGAATATTCGAGCACGATGTTATAGTTATGGAGATGGGGAGCCGACCGATAATGCTGCTAGATTTTACAAGTGGTTTACTGAGGTAGACAGCTATATCTTGTTGATCTAATTTTAGTAGTGTGAAAATTTTGTTTCATTCTTGAGACTTCTTGAGATTACGTATTGGCAATATTTTTCAGGGAAAGGAAAGGGAGCCATGGCTTCAGCAGCTTACATATGGTGTTTTTGGTCTTGGCAACCGTCAATATGAACATTTCAATAAGGTAAAGTTGCAAAATATTCTTGATCATCAGTGCCTCTTTTTAATTTTATTTGTTATCTGATGAAAAACTTTTTGAGACAGATTGGGCAGGTAATAGATGAGCAACTAAGTGGACAAGGTATATTCTGTGTCTTCTTTCCCTGATTCATTACTGCTATTAAAACAACGGACATAGTTTCCAGTTTCTTGGCAAACCTTAGTATTCCTAGCAATGTCTAAGATTCCGTCGCAGATTGCCTACCTGCAACATTTTGTTAGTGTTAATTAATATTTTTGACTTTTGGTTGGGCAGTTATTGTCATCCTTCATTGGTAATATGTTTATCTTAGGTTACGTCTCCAATATCTGTACAGTCATTTCCCCCTTCGACTTTAATTGAGTAATATTGTCATAATTAGTACCAAATTTGGCTAAACTTGTATGTAGAAAACAAGTTAACTTTAAATATGATCAAAATGTATGGTGGGACTGGAGAAACTTAACATTCCAGCGTTCAGCATGCAAATTAATTCACTGCTATGCATGTATTGACATATACATTTCTGTGTATATTACTGTATGATGTAAACTAAGTTGGAGTGTGAGGTTTAGTTACCTGTAGTTGTCATTTGGAGTGCCCTGCTAGGCCTGCTTTCATTAGTGCTACATGTTAAGTCTCTGCATCTCCTTTTTCTATTCTGTTGTGGTGATCTGAGAATGTGAAAGGTGTGGGGAGGGTTATTTGCATAGCTGTTCTCCCCAAGCAAATCTGCCAAATGCCACTATAAGGGGCTGTTTGTTTGAGGTATAAGGGGGTGGTATAAAGAAAATAGTACGTGGGGCCTACCTTAAACCTTGTTTGTTCGACATTTTTTACTAGGTACTAATTTCCGGGTCATAGTACCGACCCGGTGTAAACAGTAACACTAATGCCTTCTACACGGTGCTATTCAATACCACCTACCCGGTGGTATAATATTCTTGGTATAAATGAATGGAGGTATAATAAACTAAAAAGACCGAAATGCCCTCGGGTACAATGTCCATATAAAAGCCTAGTTGCAATTTTTGACTTTTTAAGGTTAAAATTGTCTTTTTACATTGGCTAGCCGCAATTGTTGACTTTTTTAAGTAGGTATTACACAGATAATGTTTGTGACAAACAAACAAGGAGAAAGATGGGATTATAGTTTAAGATCGGGTATAATATACTATTGGATCGGAGTGGAATGGATATAAAATCTTATACCACCTAAATCTTATACTCGAAACAAACGGCCCCTAAATTTTTTCAGGTCTTGGTTAGTCAGCACCTTGGAAAAAGTATAGTTCATCAAAATCTGGCCCGGCAGTAATTATAATGTCTGGTTTATGATGGTTTGTCCTACAAAGTCATCAAAGTTAGCTTTCGTGTTTTGATTGTGTGTTTATGCACACCATGATCATTGTTTAAAATAAGGGAAGAAGGGTTTCTTTCACCCTTGGGGGGTTGTTTCTTCTATTGGTTCTGTACAGATGATTAGCTGTTTCTGTTGATTTCTGCTTAATGTGTTAGGTGCAAAACGTCTTGTTCCACTAGGGCTCGGAGATGATGATCAGTGCATTGAGGATGATTTTTCTGCATGGTATGTTCTATTCTTGTTGCTTTTATTTCTTTTTAATTCAATCTGATGTGCAACTAGGAGCTGTTACAACTCCATATAACAAAAACCTCTATTAAACGGACAACTAAGTTTTTCTGCCATGTAATGATGATCTGGTGGTTCGTTTTTCAGGCGAGAGCTAGTGTGGCCTGAGTTAGATCAAATACTACGAAATGATGATGATGTAAACACTGTGTCTACCCCATATACAGCTGCAATTCTTGAATATAGGGTGGTGATTCATGATCCTGCTACAACTACAACCGAGGAGAAGAACTTAAATATGGCTAATGGCAATGTTTCTTATGATATCCACCATCCATGCAGGTATTTGGGTAATGTGAATGTGCCGATTCTGTCTTATCTTTTCAGTCTTTTTAATGAATGTCATTTTTCTTCTCTGAAGAGTTAATGTTGCTGTTCAAAGAGAGCTTCACAAGCCCGAGTCTGATCGTTCTTGCATACATCTGGAGTTTGATATATCTGGCACTGGCATAATGTAAGTTCATGGTGTCTTGATTCTTTCTATTCGGATTCTGTTGCTCTTCTTGTGGACAGCTGTAAGTTATGATGCATATTGATTTTGAGAGTGTTCTAACTGTGTATTAGCGAAATAAGAAATGAATAAAATATTGAAGAAGCTCACTGGAGGTTTTTTGGCAAATAAATTTTATGCTGCATAGTGATTTTCTTGTTCAACTAGTCTGTAGTAGTTAACCGTTCACCAGTGGTGTGGGATATCACTTTCAAGTATAATTTTAGTTCAATTTGGATGTTGTTTTGAACTGATTACATGCAAATAGTTTTTGCATTTGCCAATCTGGCCATTGTTTTGCTTCTTGGGTGCAGCAATCTGGTCACTGTTGTATTTAAAAGAAGGATCTTTGAAATTTTTGAATGTTAACAATTCCATTTATTTTTGTCATGGTCCCCTCTCTCCCCCCTGGTAATTCATTGTTTTTGCCTTTTTTTTTTTTTTTGGAGGGGGGGGTGGACTATGTAACCTCTTATCAACATTACATGTGGTAGATAGTAGCTACACTTCCAATCAGCATTTTCTAGTGCAGCTCATTTACCCTAATATTACTACTTAATGAGATGTATTTGTAGTTTAAATGAAGTTTCAATTGCTTCCATATATGTTAAAACTGTGAGTATTTCATGGAAGAGTGTTGATGTGGTTTTAATGTTGTTTTCATCTGTGGAAAGAGGAGATCATTCTTATTTTACGGTTGAAGGTGGAATTTTTTTTATATAAGAGTAACAGCATGTGTTTGCTACATATTATTAGTTCTGGCACTATGATTTTATTGTTGGCGAGATTGGAACTTTTTATGTATGTTATGCATCAGATTGGAGGCTGTTGGTGAATGTGTAGTGATGATTGGAAAACAGAGGCAAGCAGTCCTTGTGTCTGCTTTTCATTTATGTTAAATGAAAGCTATATTGAAGTTTCATACTGTGACTCGAATTCTTGCACTCTGACCTTTCCTTCTAATTCTAAGATTTTCATAGATAGTTCATTTCAATTTGTTGTTGTCAAGTTTGAAGTGGCACTAAATTTTTACTTCTGTAGTTACTAGTTAGTGATTTATTCTTTATTTGTTAGCCATGTTAAAACCATAAGATCACCCTTGCAATCCTGCACATTTAGATAAATGCTGCCATTTCATTGTTGCACTGCTTCCTTACTCTTGTTCCCCCCTTCCCTGTGCGTGGGTGTGCTCTTTCGTTAAAAATGCTTAGGCTGACACTGAATCCCTTCTCTCCATTTTTCAGATATGAAACTGGTGACCATGTGGGTGTTTATGCTGAGAATTGTGATGAAACTATTGAAGAAGCGGTAAAGTTGTTGGGTCAACCTTCAGATTTACTTTTTTCTATTCACACTGACAAAGATGATGGCACTTCCCTGGGCGGTTCATTGCCACCTCCTTTTCCTGGTCCTTGCACCCTTTACACTGCACTTGCACGTTATGCAGATGTATTGAATCCTCCTCGAAAGGTAATTTATTTTCACTTCACCACCTGTCCCAAGTTTTGTGATTCAAAATACTTGTTAATTGTTTCTGAATAATTCCCTTTTTCAGGCTGCTTTAGTTGCTTTGGCTGCTCATGCAACTGAACCCAGTGAAGCAGAAAGGCTTAAATTCTTGTCATCGCCTCAGGGGAAGGTAGACAAGTATCTATTATGCTTTTCTTTCCCTCTTTCTGGCATCTTTTTTCCTTTTTTCTTGTATGTGTATTTCTGTTCATTCTCGTGAGTTATTGTAATTGACACTTGACATTAACTAGCAGCTCTTCTGGTTTTATTTTTTTCTCTGTAGTACAACTCCTTTGGTTGATCTATTTTCCCATGCTTATTTTTTTCTTTGTCTGTAGGATGAATATTCTCAATGGGTTGTTGGAAGTCAAAGAAGCCTTCTAGAGGTGATGACTGAGTTTCCATCAGCAAAACCTCCTCTTGGTGTATTTTTTGCTGCTGTAGCCCCTCGTTTACAGCCACGTTACTACTCTATCTCGTCCTCCCCTAGGTGAGCTTATTGTTTTTTAGAAATGATCACATACTTGATAGAAGGTATCTTTCTATGGGTTGGTGCAAAAGGGATAGATTTTAGAAGCTTTATTACCTGATCTGTTGATATCTCAGCAATTTGATTGGTTGCTTCCCTTGGTGCAGATATGCTTCTGATAGAGTTCATGTGACCTCTGCACTAGTTTATGGCGTAAGTCCTACTGGCCGGATTCATAAAGGGGTGTGTTCAACCTGGATGAAGGTATAAAACAAATGTTCACATTTCTCAAGATGCACGTTTCTGTTTGTGTTATTATTGGGCATCGTCATTGTACTTGGTCAATGCAATGGCTGGCGCTTTCACTATCTGTGTAGTCACTTTTTCTGCTTCACTAGTATGTAACATCATTCAGTTGTATCAATCAGAATGCAGTGTCTCTAGAGAAATGCCGGGACTGTAGCCGGGCTCCTATTTTTATCAGGCCATCTAATTTCAAACTACCAGCTGATCCTTCAATACCAATCATCATGGTGGGACCTGGTACTGGCCTGGCACCATTCAGAGGATTTCTACAGGTTTGGATTACTTCACAATCTGTCCTTTTCTCCTGTTTATCTGAGAGAAATCTAAAATGGTAGATTCATTTTCCAGGAAAGATTGGCCCTGAAAGAGGATGGTATTCAACTTGGCCCTGCTCTACTGTTCTTTGGATGTAGAAATCGTCAAATGGTAAAAATCATGGCTATTTGTACTCTTGGTGCAATAGGCCTGGCTTTTAACTTGATTTTTGTTTGTAGGATTTCATTTATGAAAACGAGCTCAATAATTTTGTGGAGCAAAGCGTGATATCAGAGCTGATTGTTGCATTCTCAAGGGAAGGGCCGCAAAAGGAGTATGTTCAACACAAGATGATGGAAAAAGTAAGTAGTAAGCAGCATGCATAGCTTGCAGTTCATGAGATAAATTACAATACTCATGGTCGTTTATATATTTTTCCCATGTGCAGGCAGTCCAATTCTGGAGTTTAATATCCAACAAGGGATATCTTTATGTTTGTGGCGATGCCAAGGGTATGGCCAGAGACGTTCATCGCACATTGCATACCATTGTCCAAGAGCAGGTATGATGTACATTTCTCTCTCGCCAACCGCCTTTATTAAAAATACACCACCTAGTTTTTTCTCAATAAATATTTTCATACACATCTAACGTATGGTTTCTGTTACCCTACTATTTTTTCCTTTTTATATTTCCTTCATCTGGAGATAACCCTTCCCCAAATCATTGGTTTTCTTCATATACAATTTCTAACCAAAACCATAAGGTGAGTATGTATTGGTTCCTAGCACTGAAGTTAAGTGATTAGGCAAGTAATTTCAAATAGCACGGGTGAATCCAGTATCATGAAACAAAATATCTTGAGAAGCTGCATAGCCCAATGTCATAACCTTGCATTGTTAATTACTGGGTGTAAATTGCTCTTGCCCAAACTATGCTGGAACAAAGAGGCATTCCCTCCTCGTTGTCAATTGAACTTAAATTTATGAGCCACATCATCTTCATTCTTTCTGCTTATATATTTTGAAGATTTATTCTTTTCATCTGATCTCTCTGTCTCTCGTGGCTGGCCATCTTGTTTTTTGTGTTTTTCAATAGAATCTATGGGCTTCTGGGGTTCATCTGCAAGTTCAGTGTCTTGTTTTCATTCATCCAATCCAGTAGGATGTCACTGTTCATGTTCTGAATAGCGCACTTGTGTTTAGTTTGTTAAACATTGTTGCTTGTGACAGAGGATCCTAATCCGTCCACATCGGTTGCCAGATGCACTCAACTTGCAGTTCGGCAAGTTGAGATCAAATACCGAATCACAAATCATGTTGGTTCAAACCGATGGTTAATATAAGAACTTTGATTGAAAAGACACTTGAATGTATCTTCGTTGCTACTTGGTATATGGATAGGCCACTATTTGGATTATAATAGCTCATAAGATAAATGGTCATAGTTTGTTTTTTTTTTTTTTGGGTTGGGGGGGGGGGGGGGGGG